CTCTCTATCTCGCTCTCTCTCTCTGTCTCTCTCCCTCTCTCTCTCTCTCTCTCTCTCTCTCTCTCTCTGTGTGTGTGTGTGTGTGTGTGTACGCGTTTTCGCACAGTGAGCTGTGTATTTCAGTGAGTGCCTGTGAAGTCCAGTGTTGGAGAGCCCACTGTGCAAGCTAGCTAGGGAGCAAACACGCCGCAAGCAACAGCAATCAATATGTAACTTTCCTCATCCTCAGAGAAATCCCCGCTGTCCCCAGGCACCCATGCAAGGAAAGTCGCTTGATTATGAAAGTGTTTCAGAAGAAAAGCAGGCGCGGGTGGGGAGACAGGCAGTGCCTCCTTGGAGGGAAAAGCCTCTCTGAAGACATGCTTTGCAGCTTCATGAAACTGAAATCTGCTGAATAGTATTTAGGGTTCTACCCTTCAGCCATCTCCTGTCCTCGTCCACATTCAGTGTCCTCCAACGTCCCTCGACAACCAACAGCTTTGTTGTCTGGTTCACCTCTATTCATTTTACTAAACTTCCAAATAGCAATATTACATTTTTTTCCAAACTAAATAGTCATTGATAATATTTACACAATCTCTACTTATAAAAGCTGAACTGTTAGGCAAGAAGTTACATCAGTAGGAGATCTATAATTCAAAGATTCATGTTCTAAAAGCATAAACACACACAAACACACACACACACACACACACACACACACACACCTCTACCCGGCTATAAATTCCTAGTCTTCAACAACTTAACAGTCTCAAAACTTGCTTCTGCCTAAACTACTATCACAAATGTCCACAAGTCAAGACCGGTTGCCTGTGATCTAGCAGTCTGCAAAAAGGAAACTGATGCATTGAAATCGAGAAGGTGAGTGTTTTGATTGCTAGAGTATTGATTGTAATTCATAAATACTGAAGTTAAGTTGCCATTTATAAATTGTGAATGACTAACGTACAAATCTGTAACATGAATCATTCAGGATTTCAAAGAAAATCAAATCCAGACCAATTACAAGAAAGTTCTGGAGATTGTTTTGGAGATAATTGCTTAAAGATTCAGGTAGAGGCGCTATTAATTTCCCGGAGCTTCAAGGAGATAACCTATACTCTGATTTTGCAGTCTGGTCTCTTTCCAAATTTACCACTCCCTAGGGAGACCAACAGCTCAAACAGCTCAAAAATAAAAAGAGAAGCTCTTTTTTAGTGAGACCTTCAAATTCTAAAATGCCACTGTCTTGTCCTTTCTAAATAGGTGGTTTATTATGTATGTATGTTTTTACTAAACAGGGGGCTCAACCTTGCCAAAACCTAGGCTGCTTTCCCAAGTAGTCTTTTATCCACACAGCCCTGTTCAGCCCAGTCTTTATGTCCCTGGGGTTAATAGTGATGTGGGTGGAAAGCACCTACTTTGGAATTTGAGGCTCCAAGTCTCTAAAAGCAGAACTGCCTTGAAGAGTGGCGATCACACATTCAGACACTCATCTATCAAAGCTTTCACTTCTGCCTCCCCTCACCCCACCCTGTTCTAAGGACAAACACCAGGGCCTTCCAAAGCTAAAAAAGAGCTGTAACTCTTAGCTGGGTCGTCAGGTACATTGTGAATCACCCTTTCAAAATGACTATTCTAAAATTATTTTTAATTACATAGAAATGAATTTCACCATACTGCAAAAACAAAACTATAAAAACTACCAAGTAAGGTTATTATAGTGTATTGATTAGGCTTAATTCAACATAAATCTATGCATTTGAAGGAGGACTAGAAACACAATGCCTAAGAAAGAACTTCATGGGGTGAAAAATGTATCATCAGAAACATACCTCTGCTGCCACCCTCTCCGGAGTAATTGCGCCACACCTCC